TAAATTGCTAGCCACAATTAAAATTCAAACATTTGGAAACAAATTTCTCCAAAACATCAGTAAATTATAAGTTGAGAACATCTCTGGAAGTTCTCCAGCTGGCGGAGGTCCCCGTGCTGCAGCCCCTAAAGTCTGACTTAATCCGACCCTGGGGACAACAGAGCATTGTAGTTACACAATGGAAACTCCCAGAAACCACCTTTGAAAAGATATCTAATTTTCAAGACATTCACACTCAAATACTATTTTAGCTAAAAGCCCAAAGTGAGATTTTTTATAAAATTTGCCTTGTGGGTTACATTTCTTAACCGCAGCATCTGGGTTACTTTTAAACAGAAGAGGGGTGGGGTAAATTAATATAAAATACATGACAAACTAACGGAGCCTGCAGGATCATAATGTATGGTTTGCATTAAGTGGACTGCTGTGCACAGGAGCGGAATTCCCTGCAAGAATACACACCCGAGGGTAGGCCTGTGTGCCCTATCCTCTAAGCCACAGGATCGTCTTTGAAGATGCATGTCGAAGGGGAAGAGACCCTAGAGAAGCCTTATGAAGCCCAGTACAGCATTCTTTTATATAGGGCTCGGGCCGCAACCTCATTACATAACCCTATACTCGGCTCATTTGTCACTTAAGCAAAAGCTTGCTGTACAGGCTACACCATTCAGCTTTTAAATCCACGACTGCCTATTTGTTACAAAGACTCAGACACTAGTCGAAAGGGAAAATATCCAATATTTACACAGGTTTCCTTAGCATAAACTCCACTACTGTAATGGGAAGCTTTGATCAAGCGCCAACATTTGGGACTACAACTATCGTGTTACTACTTGAATGGAGAAGCTTTAAAACAATAAGGGTCATACAGCATCTGGGAATGGGAGGAAACTGACCTCACCCAAGGAAACAGGTTAGTTTAAATCCCCCCTGGATTAAAGTTACTTTCACCGGGCGAGAGAAAGCTGATGAAAGTGAACACTTTCTGCACCAGTTACTCCCGCATTTTAACTTACCCTCACTTTCCTATATTCACACTTCCCAACCCCTTCGTCCACTTAACACTTCTTTCATTAATTTATTAACTTTCCCTTCCACATTACTGCGTCTAAATGGATTTTACATTAGTATGAATTAATCAGTGATTTCACTAATTTCCCCCAATGAACGACAACATTTTCAGTGACTTTAAAGATATAAAATGGATATAAATGGATATGAAGCGTAAACAAGTTCCATTTTCCGTAACATTTTTACAAAGATTCTCTTTAGTTAGAAGGACGTCTAATCAAAAAGTCTATCTTAAGCTTTCTAGAGAAAATCTAGTGACTGCACACAAACATGTGGTTAAGCCCTGCACAAGGCTTAACCAACTATATACTTGGGAGTAAATATATACGTGGGAGCTACAATACTTGCAGATTTTAACCTGGGGGATGGTATACCAGCCTCACTGAGTAGATACAAGGAAAAAAAGTGGTAGAATAGTGACTATATCAGGAATACTTTGTAAATTCCAGGATATATCGCTAATTTAAAAGTACATATGTCCTATTTTCTAGGTATTACGCTCCTAGGTATTCGTTCTTAAAGGCTAATTTCCGCAATTAGCCTTTAAGAACTAATTTGGATTTTACAAGCCAGTGGGGAACAGTTACGCAGCTTGGAATAAAACTGGAAATTTATATATCCTCAATATGAAAAGTCCTGCGACTTACTGGGTAACAGTCCTGTACGGTAATTGTTAACATCAAACTATAAATGCCATCAAGAGTGATTATGTATGTATGAGGTGAAAGCGTTGATTGATGAAAGTATTTTATTTTTGGGGATTTTTTTCTCTTTGGGTCACCCTGCCTCGGTGAGAGACGGCCAACTCTTTTGTGTGTGTGTACTCACCTAGTTGAGGTTGCGGGGGTCGAATCCGAGTTCCTGGCCCCGCCTCTTCACTGATCGCTACTAGGTCACTCTCCCTGAGCCGTGAGCTTTATCATACCTCTGCTTAAAGCTATGTATGGATCCTGCCTCCACTACATCGCTTCCCAAACTATTCCACTTACTGACTACTCTGTGGCTGAAGAAATACTTCCTAACATCCCTGTGATTCATCTGTGTCTTCAGCTTCCAACTGTGTCCCCTTGTTACTGTGTCCAATCTCTGGAGCATCCTGTCTTTGTCCACCTTGTCAATTCCTCTCAGTATTTTGTATGTCGTTATCATGTCCCCCCTATCTCTCCTGTCCTCCAGTGTCGTCAGGTGTGTGTGTAAGTAATGGTGAATGTTGGAGACTGATGGTAGTGAGGAAGACGGCCAGTGGGGGTTGGGAAGAATAAGGCCCACACTGTCTGAACCGGCCAAGATTATCGTATATACAAACCTCGGAAAGCTCTCGCAAAAACATCCACCTCCAGCACCTTGCGTCATGCTTCCAGTTAACTTAGAAATGATTACGTGTTATTGCATGGAATAATTAGAGGCATATGTTACGGAAAAACAATGTGGGATTAATGTTAACGAGGGAGTAACCAGTCAGTGCCGCCTCCCCCACGCCACGGGGGTGGGGGGAAGAGGCGCGGTGTGTAGGTGGTGAGGGAACACATGGGTACAGCAGTGCCCATACCCACTTCGTTCATGATGTACATGGGAAACAAATAATGATGTGTGTATTGCAAGGCAGTGTGAACAATATAGTGTGCAAGTTCGTGTGTATTGTGCTCCCCTCACCCCTCTCCCGGGGCTAACCCCACCCAACAGCCTACGCCTCTCCCAGCAGCGGTTTTCCCCTTTCCCCTCCCAGCCCCTCAAGGTCAAGTTAACTACCTTCCACGCGCCCTACCCACCCAGTATGTCATACTCCACTCCTACAGTCTAGTCTAGGCAGATGGATGCCAGCCAGGAGGAAGCGATCAGCCAGGGAAATGGCACTACTAGGAGACAAGTGCCGTCGTGCTTACAGCTTCGTTGTCTCAACTCGAATGGTTTCCTTCGCAAACACGGTAGCTGCCCTGGTTCAGTATGTCCTCTTGTGGAAAGTGATGATCCAGATCCACCTCAGGCACCTGAACTCACTTCAACAGACCTCATCTCATCAGATATCTTGGAAGCAATTAAATCAACAAGTACCAGGACACACACGCACACATTCCCAAAGCAGCCCGTCCACACGCAGCTGGGAAACTTACAGACCTCTTAAAAAAAAGCAAACGATGGTTCCACTATCCTAAATGCTCCACCAACCATCAAGACATGGCACAACTTACTACTTTTCGGCAATGCCTGCTTAGCAATCTTAGGCAATCTTGACACCCACGATGCCTTGTACCTTCTCACAAATTGCTCGAGTCTGCCATTTCCTAAGATGTGCACTTTCATATGATAACCCTACACTGCACGAATATGACAGTATCCTGAGGCAGATTTTTACGAAAGTACTTAACCTTACTCTAGAAGACGGGCAGTGGAACCAAGCTACACTTCCAGTCAGACTAGGAGGCATTGGTGTCTGCAAGTCATCACAGATTGCACTACCTGTTTTTCTTTCCTCGTGCATTGCATCCAGAGGGCTTACAGCAGCAATTCTCCCTGAACATCTTAGGGACAAGATTGGAGTCCAGGACCAAAAGTTCATTGATGGAGCCATGATCTGGGATAATCTAACGGGCTCTGAAACAAGACCTGCTCCCCCCAACAACTACAAACAGTCGCACTGGGATGGCCTGATAGTGGAGAAAATAGCCTCAACAATGCTTCAGTGTCAGGGAAGGATAGAGCCCACCTCCTGGCAGTGAGAGCTCCTCATGCAGGGGACTTTCTGTTGACTGTTCCCAACTCCAGCCTTGGCACACGGCTCGACCCACAGACCATCCGCATTGGTGTTGCCCTTCGACTTGCCGCCCCCATTCTCGCCGAACACAGGTGTATTTGTGGCAGTGAAGCAGCAGACCGATTCGGGTACCATGGTCTTGTGTGCCATAAATCCGAGGGAAAGATTTCAAGACATGAGGAGGTTAATAACATTATCAAGAAGAGTCTCACAACAGCCGGATGCCCAGCAGTAAGGAAGCCACCCCGACTATGCAGATCTGATGGCAGCCAGAAGCGTCCAGATGGTATCACGCTTCAAGCCTGGACAGACAGTAAACAGGTGGCGTGGGACTACACATGTGCATCTACCTTGGCTGATACCTATCTCCAATACACCAGGGAGGAAGGAGGGGCAGCCGCCAGCTTCAGGGAGTCCCAGAAGTCTAGAAAATATGGAGAACTTGCCCATCATTATGTGTTTGTCCCCACAGGCTCAGAGACCCTTGACTCATGGGGAAAGAGTGCTTCTAAGTTCCTTAATGAGCTAGGCAAAAGACTCGTCAGAGTAACTAGGGATCCCAAGGCAGCTAGTTTTCTGTTCCAGCAACTCAGCGCTGCTGTTCAGAGGGGTAATGCCTGCTGTATTTTAGGCACGCTTCCCAGTTCTGAAGAGCTGGGCGAGATTTTTGCATTATAATCAGTGACAAACATGTAATAATATGTACTAGACATGTATATCTCACATCTCATGTACTGTATACGCCATCTTTATATCAACAATGTATCTCTTAAACCTTTTGTACCGTATTATGTAATAAAATATGCCTATTGGTAAAAAAGAATGAAAAGATGGGGTGGTAGGGGAAGTGGAATATTTAAACAGCTTCAGGAAGAAATCCAAATACTCTTCCTTGAAGCCTTTTTATCCACTTCTCCGAGGCTATGGGTCCCACAATTTACACCAGAGGTGGATCCCATATTTTATATTTATATTATATATATTTTATATATTATATATTTAATAATTATATATTTATTATATATATTATTACAATAAATTCACTGCAAGTTTCGTGTAAAATTGATCAATATCTACTGAGGCAATCCATAACAGGAGACCGACACGTTTCTGAATACACAGTTCAAACTAAACATGGAGGACATTTACTGACCTGCAGTTCCATCTAGTGCAACATTCCCCTTCTGGTATGTAAGCAAAACAGTTCTTTTCCGGCGCTGATTTCCAAAGACAAGATTTGCGTTTTATCTCCATTCCCTTCTCGGTGCACTTCAAGACAGCACAGGGATTATCCGTGCTCATCTCTCTGCCTATCTCATAGTACTTGCCATCCTTGTAACACTTACTGAAAAATAAATACTATAGATCATAAGGTTTTCTAGTTTGAATGTGATTTTCGGTGTAAAATATTAAAAATATAAATATATATATATAATATATATTTAGAAATTCGAATTTAATTTTTTCTCAATTAAAAATTTCCATTTTATATTATTTTTTAACCTAATATATTCCTATTTTTAAAGAATTATGTATTGGTCCGTTTAATTTTATCCATTAAATATCTAATTTTAAAATTTTTGTTTACACTCCGCAGTTCCTGTTAAAAGAATATATATTCTTTGACAAGATAATCACATTCACAAAAGATTTCGACTATTACATTTAGGTTTAAGACAAAGTACTGGAAACTACTCGTATTTCAAGTTTCTTAAGTTTAGATCTTTATAGCATACTTAATAAAACCTTAAATTCTATAGAATACTACCCAGAGAAATTCTAACATCGAAAGTCCAGTTATCTGAACTGCATTTTTTTTTCACTAAATGCAGAAACTTTATTTGGAAGGTGGAAACTGAGGTTTTAAAGGCTGTAATAAAGACGTGAAAGTTCTACAGTTACACTCACAAGAATACTGAAAGCTTCAGTTGAACGAAAATTCTGGCAATGTTTTTTCCCATAACCTCAGGACCACTTCCAGGAGCGGACACTGCTTTTAAACAGCGTATAAAATGTAAAGTACATATAAACACGCACAAGAATACTGAAAGCTTCAGTTGAACGAGAAATCTATGGCATTAGGTGTTGTTCCCATACCTGCAGGACCACTCGGGACAGCAGGCCCCCGGGACCACTGCCTCTTGACAGCCACTGTGTGGGGAGGTACCCAGTAGCATTGTTGTGTTGTTGTCTGTATCCCATCCTTTGTACACTTGTGTGTGACGCAGGGACTGCTCATCCAGGAATAATGTAATGGGTAGTACTTGCCTCCAGCAACACAACCGCTACAGACAATGAAAAAGCATTGAAAGTGATGGAAGAATGATTTAAATTGCCGAGGTTTGTTCATGTCCCTTGCAGAAGATATAAAAATTCTTAAAGATTACTGTACAAAGTATAGTGTGACAACCCACTCATTTTACAATGGAAACTTGTTTACACTAATATTTTTTTATGCTTGTTTGGAAATCAATTAAATTGTTTCTAACATGACTGAATTGGTCACATTAGCACCTTGTTAGTGGTGTAAATTTCTCTAAACATAAATCAAAATCTCAAAATCAAGCTACTCGCAGTACTTTTTTTATATTGTACAATGTATACATACGTTGTTCAGGGTCATCAGTGTCAACAAACCTGAAACTGCGACATCCTCACCATTATGGTGGAAGAGATGCTGAGTTCTTAGTCAGGAAAGCACCCTGAGGCAGCCCTTCCTGAAGAGACTCCTACCCCTACGCACGAAGCGTAGGGTTAGGAGCACGAAGGTGTTTAACTGTCTAAATACTCCTAATTTTTTATTGTATTCTACTTTAAGAGTTCCATAAAGACTCGCTGAAAAAAAAATTCTATATAGCAACACTTTGGTTAATAATGGAAAATAGACTGTTGAAAATTGTTGTAATGGTGCTTGTATGATTGCACGAAGCTTAATCGAAATTCCATTTTTATGTATGTTCTCTTTTTTAAAACTGCGAAAATTTAGAAAATTTAGAAAAGGAGAAACCTTACAGAATGTAAGGTTTCTCCTTTTCTAAATTTAAAATAGTCTAAAATTAATCTCGTTATACATAAAAAGTTAAGCTATAGTAAAAAAAAATGTTCCTGGAGAAGAATGCTAAAAAACCTTGATTTCCAGTTAGGAAATTTATCAAAGCCTATTGTGGCCATCAGTGTGTAGGATGGATACAAGATCTTAATAATAGTGCTTCTAGGATCATTACTTCAAGTCTGAAGTTTTCTTCCATCAGTAGCATCCTATTATTACCTTCACATTCACTACTCTATACAATCAAAACTAAGTTTACCGATAATATGGGTAAAAAAAAAAATTAATTTAACAACGGAAGACGTAAAAATATTTTTTTTAAGAATTTTATCTAAAGGCAACTTTTTTTTTTATTTTCCTCAACCAGGCAAGCATTGAAAGTTAACTTTCCCATCACACTACAACACAGAGTTAAGGTGACCCAAAATCAAGTGGGATTTATGGTAAAGCTTTCCCAACCACTTAGAATATAAGTTTATAATACTAACGTGGACCTTTAATGATATACAATGTCATGGAGGAGCGTTAAACCCGTAGAGATTATACAGAGCTTGTGGGGGTAGGGGGGATGGAAGGTATTCTGGCTTAATTAATGGAAGTGATCTCAAATCCAATTCCTGATATCGAACTCTTCACTAGCATCAGGGATCCTCCCCTGAAGGGGGGTCCATGATACACAGCATACACAAAAAACCGCCATGCACAGCTCTATAGGTCTATGAATACACAAATAACCCACACAGAGAAGACAAACTTAGGTCGACGTTTCGGTTCGACTTGAACCATTAACTAGATACTCACAAGCACGAAGGGAAGGAAGCATATATACAAGGGTAGAGGGGGTGGGAGGCATTTGTGCATCATCCCAGTCACCATATTGTGCCTTTTTATTCTTTACGTCAATTAATTTACTTACCTGCAGTTCCATTTTTCACAACACTGTCCCTCTGGTAAGTATTCGAAGCAATTAGATCTTGGTGCTGGTACCCATGGACATGATTTATATTTAGTCTCGAGTCCCCTTTTAGTGCAAATTAAGTTGATACAGGGATTCTCAGTTCGTATTTCATGTCCAAATTGATAGTAGTTCCCATCTTTGTAGCATCCACTGTCGGGTAACAAATTTCAGACTAGCCTTGGTAAAACTATTATATTTGTAAACTTCTTTATTGCAACGAGAAATAAACTTAAAATGGGAAGCATTCTTTGTCAAAATCATTTAACAATATCAGAATTAAAGTATATACAATTTTTAAATGCCCTACCTGCAGGACCACTCAGGGCAGCACGCTCCTTCCAGGTACAGCTCCCGACAGTCATCATGTGGCTTGGGTCCCAGACTACACTGTGGTCGCTTGCTCTTTATCCCTTCTTCCGTACACTCGTGTGTAGCACACTGATTGGTTGTCCACTTATGATTATACAAATAGTAATTCCCATCACCGTCAAAGCATCCACTGACAGAATAATGGCAATATAATGATATGTAAAGAAACATGGATTTTTGGTTTATAAACCTTAAATCAGGGAAATGTACCATAAAATTATTAAACACGGTAAAAGAAGTTGGAGAAAAAACTTCAGATATATTTGTAAAACAGGATCACATTGTACATATTAGAGTATTAAGTATGAAGTAAATTAGTTTAGAAAATCGGCAAGTTGAAAATGAGATTGTGCAACATTTGGGAATCTTTATTATGGAAAAGTTTCGCCAGACAGTGGCTTTTTCAGTCCATTACAGAAAAGAATGATGCAAGTGGAGTTTGAAGTAATTAGTCCCTCATCCTGAGGGACTGATTACCTCAGATTCCCAAATCTTGCACACGAGTCTCGGTCTTCAAGATTATTACCAAGTATCTGAACGTATTATATTTATAATATAAGAAAAAGCGCTAAACCACAAGGGCCATACAGTGTTGCAGGGCAGGGAAGGAAGCGAGAGTATTCGGGTGGCAAAAAGGAGGGGGATGATTAGTAGGTTATGGAGGACAGCGGGGCAGTGGATAGTGCAGGGGTAGAGGGTAGCAAGAGTGAGGTAGAAAGGGCTGTGGGGAGTGCTAAAGGCATCATTCTGCATGCTCGTTAATAGTGGGCAGTAACATAATATGGCTAACAGATACTGGAACCTGATAATTCTCACAGAGAGGAACAGGGTGCCTCTCCACGAGATATCTGCGAGTAAGAGGCCAATGCGAAGATGGGAGAGAGTAGTCTCCCAACCTCGACACTGATGACAAGGAGACAGCCAGTAACCTATACCCGGTTTAATAGAATGAAGTTTGTTATTGAGCTGATCAGACCAACGTTGTTGCCAATGGGTGTGAAGGTGGATAGCAATTACAGCAAAATAGTCTGTGAATGGAACACTTCCATATGAAACTGGAAGGTCATGTACTGCCGACCGCACAGCAGTGTGTGCCTGTTTATTACCCTGTACATCAACGTGACCAGGGACCCAACAAAAAACTATCTTTATGCTTGGTAGAGATACGGCATAACCAAAGTTTTATACAGAGAACTAGGGGATGAGGTTTATCAAATTTTTGTATAGCCTGTAAAGCACTAAAGGAATCTGAAACAACCACAAATGGTGACGCAGGCATAGATGCAATACGGAAAATGCTACAAGAATGGCATACAATTCAGCAGTAAAAATGCTAGCTGAGGATAGTAAATACCCACGCACTACACTGTCCAGAAACACTGCTGCGAATCCGACTCCATCAGAAGACTTAGAGCCATCTGTGTATACAACGATGGCATGAGAGAGTGGAAGTGGTCAAGCAAAAGAGTGGGAAGCTACTGTAGGCCGTTGGGCTTTCGCTCAAGGAAGCGAGAAAGAACAGACTCGAACAGCTGGAACTTCCCAGGGGGGCAGGGAAAAGCGAGATGCGACATGAACATAGAAAGGTGGTAATGGAAGGGAAGACGAGTGAATGGAGGCGAAGAGAAAAGGGATGGAGTAAACAGGGGCAATGAACAAATAAAGAATGTGGAATATTTGCTTCAGCATAGAGGCTCTAAACAGTGGAAGAGAGAAAAGCACCAAGGCATAAACGTAATCCCTGGTGATGGATGGGATTAAAGCTAGAGAGAGTAGCAGGAGAGGCTGCTGAATTGATTTGGTCACCATGATAGAGTTTTGATAAAATGAGGGCTGAATGTAGGCGAAGGAGAGTTCGATGATCAGCTCCCCATGAAAGATGAGCAAGGGCTTTAAGAAGGTCCAGCTGGCTGTGACAAGTTGCCTTCAGAGATGTAATGTGAGGTTTCCAAGATAACCTACAGTCAAAGAGAAGGCCTAGAAACCTGACCGCATCACGTTTAGGGATAGAGGTACAAAGGATCATCGGAGATGATAGAGCCTCTAGTGAAAGTAATTTGGCGAGTTTTAGTAGTGGAAAATTGAAACCCATGCGTTGTGGCCCAATGGGAAACACGGTTGACCACATGCTGGAGAGAAACTAATGAGGTGACAGTCAGCACCTGCACTGCAATAGCGAAGTCATAAACAGAGGGATGACCAAATTTTGGATGGAAGAAGGGAGGCCAATCGTTTATAGCAAGGAGAAAAAGTGTTGTGCTCAGAACACATCCCAGGGCAACTGATGTAAATGTTGTAACATCCGAATGTGACTGCCATCAGGTCCAGCTGCCGATGATCAGCAAGCCGAGTGTGTGTAATCCCGTTCCGGAAGTGTGAAAGGCACATTATAAGATTCTTCATTGAAAGATTTAAAGTCTAAGGGTGCTAACTCTCTGGCAGACTTTCAGGAAAGAAACGAGGGGAATAGATGGAGCCCGAGAAATACGGACCAGATGATTGCCAATTTCAATGGCAGCATCAAAAGGGTTTGCTATAGCAACACTAGCAACCTGCTGAGCAGGAGCTGGGTCAGGAGAGTATTTACCACTCAGTTTTCGTACTTTCTTCCAGACTGCACTTATAGAGGAAGCCGAAGTGATGGTGGAAACAATCTCGCCAGCAAGTGCATTTAGCATCACAAATGACACGGCGAGTGACCGCTTGCTTCTGCTTAAAATCAAGAAGTCTCTCTGTGGTTCTATTGTACCAGTACCTGCCACATGCAGTGCGTTTCAAATGTACTGCCCGAGCACAAACAGGAGACCCCCATGGCACGCACTTCTGAGATTGCCTGCCCGAGGTTTGGGGTATAGAATGAGAAGCTGTTAAAACTGATGTTGAGAAGAGGTATAAAAGCTCATCAATGGAGGAGAAGAAGGAACCTCACTAAAAGCAGTTAGCTGCGAGTAAAGGTCCCATTTTGCTTGACCAAATTGGCAGTGTGGGCTACAAAGAGGTGGGGAATATGAAGGAGAAGTAAGAATGACTGGAAAATGATCACTGTCCTGTAAGTCCGGGAGAACAGACCAAGTGAAGTCTAGTGCAGTGGAGGAAGAGCAGACCGAGAGATCGATGCAAGAGAGTATGAGTACGAGAATCAAAATGGGTGGGAGTACCCATATTTAAAACATGGAGGGGGTGAGAAGTGAGAAAAGCTTCCAACTGAATGCCACCTGAGTCACAGTGAGATCCTCCCCCAGAGGAAATGATGGGCATTAAAATCGCCAAGTAACAGAAACGGTGGTGGTAAGTACGAAACAAGAAAGGCAAAATCTGGGATAGATAATGCCTGAGAAGGAGAGAGATACAAAGAACAGATCGTATACCACTTATTCAAGTGGATATGGGCTGCAGTGTAATGCAGCAAGGTACTAACAAATAGCTGATGGTACGGAATATCAATGCATAGAAGAGCACTTTCATTAAAGGTCCCATCAGAAAAAGGATCTGAACAATACAATAAGTTATAGCCTGAGATGGGATGGATAACAGCAGAGTAATTTTGGTTCCTGTAAGCAAACACCAACAGGGGAAAACAGGAAGAGCAACATCTGAAGCTCACCCTGATTACCCGAGGCTGCGGATATTCCACTGTAAATAGGCCATGATGATCAACGAGACATACCAGGAATTCACAGGTAAGGGTACTTATGGACTCGAGGGGTTAGAAAAGTCCACATGTGGTGGCAGCGGAAAACGTTCAAGCAGCAAAGGAACAGAGCGCTGTACAGAAAGGAGTTGCACAGATGGAGAGGGAAGAGAAGGGACAGGAGGTGGATCAGTGTCCATTGATGGTTTAGTCTCTTCAATACATTCTGAGATAGCTTCAAGCATTTCAGAAGTCAAAGACATTGTATGGGAGACAATATTGGAGATAGGAGGAGGAGGTTGAGTAAAGATGGGGACAGCAATGGACTGTACCAAAGTAGGGAGGGACGAAAGGGTGGAGGGCACTGTAGAAGTGTGGGAAGAGACAGAAGAGGAAGAAACTTGGTAGGGGACAGGGAAGGAAGGCACCATTCGAGGAGGATGGTGAGCCTCCAAACTATTAAGAGCTAGTGAGAGGTGAAGAAACAGACTGGAAAAGTAAACTGTGGAGGGAGAAGGAGGGAAGGAGGGGTTAAATGAGATTTGAGCAATGGGGATTTTTTGGACTTCTGAAAAGTAGAGGGGCGATTGGGAAGGAGGTGTTGTACGAGATCTTGTCTATACCGGGGCTTGTGATGAACACAAAGTGAGAGACTTGAGGTGTTGAGGTAGGGACATCTGAGCCTAGGACAGCAAAAGACAGGAGTGACTATAGAAGGGGTAACCACAGAGGAGGCTGCAAAAGATGGGACCCCAAAGGTGGGGGGACATTTAGAAACACGAGAATAAGAAATATGGCGGAGTCTTCCTTGGAGGCATAGACGAGAAACTGCCATAGCATAAAGAAAACTTCTGCTTCTTTAAGGCAACGGATTTCTCGCTTATTTAAGTAGACTTGGCAATAGTGAGAGCAAGAAGGGCGAGCTTCTTGACAATTAAGGCAAGAGGGAGATCGACTACAAGACGCATTAGAATGGTCATCGGCACCAGACTTGGCATTTGGCTATAGATCTGCAATATATCACTGGATGACCAAATCGCCAGCAATTTCTATGCTGTTGTGGTGTAGGGATCACCTATCGAACTTGTAAATTATGTCCTGCTACACAAACAGAGGCTGGGAGTTCATGGCAATCGAAAGTTAATTGAGCTACATTGCAAGGGTATCGTCTTAGCCCATGGGCAGAAAGGACAAGTGTCTACTTTGAGGATTGGAAGGTCCTGGAGTTCCAGCTGTTTGAGAATGTCATCGCCACACATCACGAAATTCTGTTGGATAATGGTATGGGGCAGAATGACAGTGCCACTACAAGAATTGAGGGAATGATGTTTTTTGATAGTGATAGGAATAGTATCGATATATGAAAGAACAGAAAAGTCACGAGCTTAGTTAGCATTCTGGACAGTAATGATGCATGTACCACTCTTGAGAGCATGGAAGGATATATATCTACCAACATGGCATAGGAGTGACTTGCCAATCCTATGGTCGGAAAGAGG